CACGGTGGCATCCGGTACGTCATCCTCTGAGTCTCTGCCTTCTTTTTGTTCTAGTCGGTTCTCTACTTTTTTTACTGACGATTTCGTCTTCAATATTTATCAAATCTGGGGTACATTCCACATCATTGTTAATGACGACGAACTCCTCTGCATTTATGACCGATTGTGCAGGCCATGATCTCATCCTCAGCGATGGCGTCATCAGAAAGTGCATCGGATACCATTCGACTGAAGCCAGCATGCCAAAAGCAAGCTTTTGTTGTTGCACCTGTAACCTGTCACCAAATTTTGAAATGAAATGAATTACATCGAGCACAGAAATCTTGGTGCCGTCATCCACCGCCGACGATGAGCCAGATAACACATTTTTCGATGTGATAAAGAATTCGGTCCACAATTTGCCTTCTGTAACGGATTTTCAGATTCCTTATCATACCTTGGTCCATGGGTTGAAGAACGCCGGTGGTGTTTACGGTAAAAATTCCATTTGAATGTTTTTCAGGCCTTCTTGTGAATGCGCTGTACAGTTACCCAAGAACATAATTTTTCGGCCATTCGAGCACCCACTCGGTGAAAAGTTCTTTCGTCATCCACGCAATTTTGTTTGCTTTGTAAATTACGGGTACTTTGTCCACGTTCACACCATTAAAACATCCTAGTTTCTTACCTTTCTCAGTCAAAGCCAGTTTTCTTTTATCCGTGCCTGACATATTCGCGCAACACAGGAGAGTTGTCCTATCCATGGCTTTTTTTTCGATCCGCTGAGTTTATTGAGAGAAAAACGCAAAGTGCCCTCTAGAGTTGCTTGGTAAAAAAGGCCTGTTTCGTCTACATTGTACACGTTGTCATCATCAAATGCATTTAAAAGTACAGGAAGTCGATCTCTCAGCCAATTTTCACAGACTGCTCTGTCCGCGGAACTCTCTTCGCCATGCACACGTTTATACACAATTTGAGTTCTATCCTTCCATCTTTGCAACCGCCCCTTTTTAGCAGCACAGATTTTTCCAATTCTTTCCTTGAATTATTCTGCATTTTTCTTCCGAAGCGGGTCTGTAACTGTTTGGTTATGCCCACGAACCAAGATCATCCAGTCTTTCCATGCAGTTTTAACTTCGTTATCCTTTCCACATCGCTTCCTTTTCTGAGAGCTTCCAGTACCATGCGACAAATTCTGCCCGACTTGCTTTTCGCTGGCAATCAACCTGACTAGGGTACGACGAGAAATGTGTAAATCACGCGACAACTTGGCTTGCGAAGTTCTCGGTGGATAAGTTTTACTTTTGTCCAGAACGTCCAACTTTTTTGTCAAGGACTAATCCTTTCTGTTACTGGTCATACTTGTGTGGAACCAATGGAGTACTGGCAAATATGGAACGGAATGGTTACCCGACTTTGCTCAGTTCTCGAATTTTAAATTGGGCCGAGGGTTTGCCCACAGCCGTCTGTACATTTAGTTTGCTCGTGTATTGGATGATCTAGTTAACCCTCTCCGATATGTCAGTAACGTCGCCGACATCTTTGCTGCTCTTGACTCGACCGGACTGGCTAGCTTTTAGGTAATCGTAATAAAAGATAGGGTGTAAAATTGACCAAGCGACTAGAGCACAGTCCACGCAGCTAGTCAATTAAGCGGTGGACGACCCCGGCAATCGGCACTTAAACGGTGAAAATTTTGCATACTTATAAGAAAAGTCTTTGTATTTTGCAAAGCTGGGCAATAAAGCGGGTTCGCCTTTATTGTTCACCGCAATAAAGAACTCCGTCCGCATCTTGGATTCTTGCAATTTTACTCGAACTGATACCCTGTGCTCTACAACTCTCTCATCGCCCTTCGCTCGATTGTATGGCCGGATCATTACTGCATTCCTTATGGTCCAAGTGGTAACAACGATTATTTTGAACGGATAAGTTCCTCAATTCCAAGGATTGCGGTATTAATTGTCATCCATGAACAGTCAATGAACAATTATTTATGATGAGTAAAAAAGGTGGTGCTTGAGAAATCCCGTAAGTTGTTTGGGGTGAAAACTCAAATTTCTCAGTTTAAACGTATGACAACTTAGATGCGCTGCTGCATAACGATAGTATGGAATGGGAATTAGGTGTAAGCACACGAAATCGCTCCGCAGGTGTCGATGTTATCTGCTCTAGATCCCGAGGGTTTTCAGCTTCAGTTTGTGTGATAGATGAGCAAAGGTTTGCATTCTTGATCGCCCCTCGTTGTGGCATTTCAAATGCGCCAATCTCATGCTTGTGGTTACTGCTCTTGTTACTTCACAAGCAGCATTTGCTTTTTCGCTACGCCTGTGCACTGTATTGTGTATGCGTTGTTTTGTATTTAACAATCCTACACATTCTGTGTTAGCTCGATATGTTGTGAACTGTTTTTCATCATGGTACAACTAGAGGGTCCGTAAGTTATACATTGATGTTTTTCGACTGGAGTGGTTGATCCATTTCCTATTATCGTTTTTTTATAGTCCCTTACTTATGAATCCCTTATTGATATACCTGAAGGATCTCATACTGAACACCTAAAACTTGTTCTAGCCAGCGCATTACTCATTGCAATGATTCCGATTAAATTTGAGATTGTTGGCGTTAATGTAATCCTCGACTGTCCATCGAATCCTCAAAGAACCCGAGTAGGTGCATCAAACCATTTGTGCTTGCGGTTCTGTCTTTTAGTCACTAGCTACTTGGATATTTTCAGGGTTCCTTTACTACCCACAGGAATTCTTTATCAGGTCAATCTCGGAGACAAACTATGCCGCCACTTGTGTTTTGTCTTGGGTAGTGTTGAAGAGGAATTCGTAAAACTAGCGATATCGATGATCGAGCTATCTTCATCAACAACTCATTGTGCTGTGCGATTATGAAGTGTACTATACCCGTGTTCAGGAGACGCTGATACGACTCGGGCGCGTTTGTAACTAACCCAGTGCCGGTCAACAAAATCATTTATATAATCATTTTCGCTGTTTTGCTGACTTGGTTGTGTTATATCGACCTGGTTGTAGCGACCATAGTACTCGAAACGAACGAGTTGCGGATTTTATACACGCACGGAAAAGTAACCGACATGATTCCATTCGTGTGACCGGTGAGATGCCCGTGAGTCGACAAACGTTTTCTGCGCGCGAGCTGAATCGACCAACTGTAACAAATGCGGCCCCCACACACGTCTACACGACTGTGAGAGAAATAAGAGCAAAAAGATCCCTTCTCAGCATGCGCTTTTACTAGCCTTGTAAAAGGTGAATATAGCGTTACCCAGTCCCACTTTATCTATCGAGATCTGTAGAGTAAACAAGAAAACGACGTGATGCCAAGTGAATTTACACAATGTATAACGGACGGTCCGCAAGGTTGAATAATTGTACTTCCAGAGGCATGTCTGGAAAAAGAATCATTGTCAATGTGGAAACTTATTGCGTCATGTGCATTGGCATGAATGCGAGTGTCTGTTGCTCACTCTACCTAACAGGACGGAACTAACGCGACTAAAGAGCATGAATAAGTTGATTCATAGGCCTCATGGGGCTGGCTGATCCTGTTTACTCATTAGGGTTCTGACTTTTTCCAACCTGGTGAATTTACAAAACCAGTGGTTCCCTTGCACCTAACTGTTAGCCTTATAGTTCGATTATTATAATATTATTATTTGCATTTTCCTCAGCCTTTTTCTTGACATTTTCCTCCCTTTTGTGGCCTACCTTTGTCATAGCAGCGCGAGTCATATCGTCTGGATCCACCGCGATTCGGTAGCCGTATCTTTGTTGACTAACAGATTCATGTGCGGGACCGACGAGTATGCCGGCGTACTCACGGCGTCACATCTTGGGCATCACTTTTCGGTAGCGTTTGGACCACCCCACTGCACTGCATAACGAGCTTTATCTGAACGAGTTTGCCTCCAGCGGGGTGTGTGTAACTCTTTTGTGTTAGTTGGATGAGCTGTAATTCCAGGACGTATCGATACTTCGGTCACATGTTCAAGTTTGCAGCCGTAGGGATAGACGTACGCGGCTGCTGACGTTACCAACATCTCTCACAGTGCTGTTTGGCGTGAACACACTTTCTCCCCTTTGGCCATCCCGTTTCCTTAATCCTTGTATGCAAAACAATGTGTGTATTGGAGCACCCGTCGTATATTTGGACCACGACACACAATCTCCTTTCGGACCCGTGTTTACATCGAAGTAAACCTTGGCGTTTCAGAAGTGCGGAGAGTCTCGATGTTGTTTTCTGCACTCCACAAGAGGTTTTGCCTTTTATTTGTACTCCTCAGTTAGTGATAGGCCGAGTTGGTTTTGCGGAACCCGGGACCTAATGATCGACGGCTGACATCTTGACCACTACTGGCCTTTACTTGGCCCCATAAATAACGCTTGGCACTGAACTTCGGACTTCGTGGCTACATGTTGAACCACACGCAATGTCTTTATTTGTGATGTTTGTTTTATTCTATCTTTGATCCCGCTTTATTCGCATTTTACTGATTTGCTGCTTTACTCCCGGACTAATCTTCTTCTACTTTTCGTTGCTGTGCCACAATCGGGACATTTTTGCACCAGATTTTTTGACTTGTGGTCAAATGAAGTCAAACGCTCGACCTAAATACATCCCACTGTTGGTCGCTTTCATCTGTTTGATGTTTCTCGTCAACAGTCATGCGCCATATCAAAGTATAAAGCTCAACCCCATGCAATGGCAACACTATCGTTACCGTACAACATCTTTCGCTGTGCTAACCTCATCCGTGTGCATTGAGTACTTTGTCTGTCAATATCTGTGACGCGTACTTTTCACTGGTGCATTCAAATGCTGTCCGCGTTCTTTTTGTCTCCTTGTTTTTCTAGCACACTTTCCTAGAACATTCTACTCCTCTGATGCTATATGCCATGCAATCGAGCGACTTGTGGTTTTTCTTTCCCTCATTAATCTAATGGGTTGTATCCTTTTTTAATCACCAGCCGGCCGGTTGGGCTGTAGGAAAAACACCATACACAGGCCACACCGGTTCTGTCGAAGACATCCAATGGTCATTCACAGAGCCCACCGTTTTCATCTCAGTTTCCACTGACCACAGCATTCGGGTGTGGGACACTCGGAGTCCACCGAGTTCCGGAAGTATGCTTGCCGTTCCGGAAGCCCACCCGACGGACATCAATGTGCTCTCATGGAACCGATTGCAATCGGTGAACTTACTCACTGGAGGCGACGATGGCAGCCTTCGAATTTGGGACCTGCGTGCTGTGAACAGACAATTTGCCGCCAATCAACAGTCCAATGCGATCCCAGCGTATACACACATTTATGAAGTGAGCTACTCCATCCACATATTGTACTGTGTTCTTTGGCATTGTCCGGCGATACTTTGTCTCCCGCTCGACACTTTTTTAGCTGCTTTTTTCACGACGATAATTTGCGCGAATCTATTCCCGTGGATTTCAACAGTCCATCTTCTCTCTGCGTCCATTGTCTCTTTAGCGTGCGGCGCTGACTCATTAGCATATTGAACGCAGTGCCGACCCGAGGGGCTGCAACTGAGGCTATTTTCGTCACTGTCACTAACTGAACAATGATTTATGTCGGGTAAGAAAGCAGTTGCTCGACAACTCCTGCAGGATGGTGGGAGTAAAACTACAATTATCAAACGATAGATGAGTTGTCTGCTTGAGAGTTTATCCAGCAAATACGCTGTTGAATAGTAGTAGTGCAAGTGGGAATTGCACGTGAACGACGTGGAAACATGGGGACAGTTATACTTAATGTATTACATGTGAAAAGTAAAACAAGAATACTCACTTCTATCCCGCATCCTCAGGTTTACGTAACATGCTAATCCTGTTTGGAGGGATAATTAATAAATTCCAAAGTTGCACCGTTTAGGCGACGAAGTGATGGGGCCAAGGGCAAGATCTAATCGCTTTTTAAAAATATCCAAGGTGGGGGAGGAAACAACGAATTTTGGAGAGAGTTCTAGGGTTGGCAAACCTGAAGAGAAAAATAATTCCGCCGGCATTCCAGGCGGCCAAACTGTGCCCACACTTTCAGAGGGTTAACTCTGAGATTACTGTTATGGCTGAGTTACATCAAGTGCCGACATACGTGATTAGTGTCACTCACTATTTGGTAGACTAATATGAGATCGCCGCGCAGCTTTCGGTAGCGGCCACTGAAAACTCCCAGTGACTTCAGCCTTTACTGGTAGGACAGATTTCGTAGACCCTTGACGTTCTTTGTGGCCTTGCGTTAAGGTTTCTCTAATACTTCTAAGTTGCGCTTCAACGAAGGTTGCCAAGCTTGGATGGCCTATTTAACGTGAGGGCACTCGTAATATTTGTGCAGCATGAGGAAGATGGATGTGTCGAATCTTCCGAATGCTCTCCGCAGCAAGCCGATGTGCTGATTTGCTCTCTTCCCAGCTGCCTCTGACTGTTTTGAACAGTTAAGGTCACTTTGAATGAGCACACCAAGGTCGCGTTCTTAGGATATGGTTTGCAATACATGTGACCCAAGCCTATGCACGTAGTCATGTCTATGGCGCAATTAAACAGCGTGACATTTTTTCCACATTGAACGGTAGGGTATTCAAAACTGACCGAGTTGAAATAGTGTTGAGGTCAGGCTGGAGCCTTTCCTGGTCCTTCTGTTCTTTGATCGCTCCCCATAACTTGATATCATCCGCGAAGGGTAGCGATTTGAAAGTAATTTCCCTCACCAGATCGTTTATGAGAATCAAGAATAGATGCGGCCCTAGCACCAAGCCTTGTGGTACGCCGCACTCCACCTTACTTGCGTCGGACAGCAATTCTCTTACTCTCACTTTCAACCGACGTTCGTGTAGGAAATTGCCTATCCAACGCAGCAATGTGTCACCAACGTCATAAAGCTGAAGTTTATGGAGGAGAATTCGGTGGTCTAGCCGATCAAATTCTTTTGAGAAGCCCAGGTAAATGATATCAACTCCTGCTCTAACATCAACTGCTTCGGTCCAGCTGTTGCGTGCAGTTAACAAGTTCGTAGTGCATGAGCGCTTTTGTCGGAACCCATGTTGCTCTGATGCTATTATCTTGTGATTTTCCAGCTACTACATGAGTGCATCAGCGATGATAGACTCCATAAACTTGGAAATCACTGGGAGTAGCGATACGGGACGGTAATTTTTTGGGTCAATTCGGCTATCTCTCTTACCCCATGCTTCCATATTGTTGGAATATGGTTCTCATCCATACAGCGCTGATAGAATATAGCCAGAGGTTCCGCCAGATCACTGGCTGCTGCCTGTAAAGCCTTCGGTCGAATGTTATCTACACCAGGAGAGCTGTGGATACGCAGATACAACTGTTTATTTGACACTTTCTGCAGTAAAAGTAATATTGGATAAAGCTGATGGTGAGACAATAGAAACAGGGATAATCGTCTGGTTCTGTTCCTCAGAAATGACTTCTCCTTTGAGGATGGAAGGATTTCTGCTCAGACGCGTGCGCTATCAGTGTGCTGAATGTCCTTGTAAAAGTGTCCCAGGCGATTTTTGGGGGGCTTTCTGTTAAGGAGGTCCAAGATACCTCCTTAACAAGCGCGCATAGCACGTTGTAGTACGTGACCGTATATACTTCCTCGTTCTCTTCCTCAGGATATTCCGTATAACATACATAGTTAAACATTAGAGTCACATGGTCACTGCGACCCAGTGGTGTGCCTGTAATTATTCTGTCTACCATGAATTCTTTGTTGGTGAGGCCATGACCAAGTATCGAGGGCTTGTTGGTAATTCGAAATCTGATGGGAGTGGTCACGTGATCGTACAGAGGGTAGCTGGCAATTACCTCTTGTAAACAGGCTTTGAATTGCATGCTGTCGGTCGCCGATATTTCCAGGTCGTGCACATTAAACTCGTTTGCAATGAGAATATGACTGGATGTCTTGCTCAAAGCAACCTGAAGAACGTGGTTTCGTTTGGAGTCCATTTCACACGTAGAGTTTGGTGGATGGTAAATCACTGCTGTAAGACATGTATCTATGTTCCGCAACGATAGCCGGCACCAAGGCGATTCAGGAGGCCGGATCTCTGGGCGCTCAATAACTTCACACGCTTTGTTGCATTCCATACAAAAATTTACTGGACGATTTCATAAGGTTTATCCAGAATACTCTACGTAAAAACGATTATCTCGATAGATTTATTTTAAGGAACTTCCAAGAAAAACCCAGACGAATGCCAGTGTTAACAGCAGCAAAGAAAGAGCTATTTATTTGTTTACCATTCAAATGGGGCGCAGCTACCGAGCGTTTAACCAGAAGCCTTTCGGCCGCGGTAAACTCGACCTCCGAGCAGCCTCGTTCAAGTACGCTTTCTCAACAGAACCACTTATTCGTTCACAAAACAAGGACATGATGCCGATGCTGACCAACTCAATGGTAATTTATCAATTCATGTGCGCCTGTGCCGCAACGTGTATTGGTCGAACGGCGCGGCAGTTATCCAAACGCGTGAATGAACATTGCCCTCGTTGGCTGCGTCAAGGGGGCGCCGGACCATTAGTAGCGCCATTCTGGCCCACATTGTGGACACTGGCCATGAGGTAAATTGGAAACGCACTTTCCGAATAGTTTACAAAGTTTCGCGGCACAGAACGAAAGGTTACCGCCTTGGTACACTTGCAACAGCTGAAGCAATATGCATTCGATTGTTCCGGCCGTCCTTATGCTCACAGAAGAAGCTGGTCCAGGTTCTCCAGCTTCCCTGACCAGTGAAGACGGAATACGCCCAGTCGGCTGCCTTCGGTCAGACGCGGTAGCAAACATCTAGGCCACTAAGACCTAATTCGTTTTCTGATCTCTGACATTGACCTTCACGGGCTATTCGTCTTAAACTAATCGGGTCGATTTTTATTTTTAGCCTCCACATGATTGTACTAGTCCGATGATGAATCATTGAAAGCAATTGCTCACCAGATGGTCTTTCCTTCTCGCGATTTCATAACCATAATCACCATCACCTCAGCTACTGCGCCGCAGTACATAAAGCAACGAAAAAATACAACAGGGGCACGCCAACTGAGCTACCAGTAACGCATGGGCGATTTTATCCGCTACAGCAGGCATTGTTCGCCCGAACTATGCTGTCTTGTCTTTTCCCTCTAATTTCGCACTCGGAACCATCATAATTGACTATCCAAACTGATTGGGATGGGACTTCTATCAAGCGACCTACTGGCAAGCCCGAGATACGTGGACGACATGGCTCTGTTGTTTGGGTCAGTCAGCTGATATACGGGTACAGTTAAGTAGGCTGCCATGGAGAACAGCGTGTGCTTCGCGTATCCAGTTTGAACTGCTGCTTCGTACAAGGCTGGTATGCCACAATTTCTCGCTATCCCAGAAAAATTACCAGAATTGTTTGGATCGTTTACTTATCCAAGTAGCTGTATCACTCCATGGATACTTTGCTACGCACACCTACATAAAATAATAAGGCATTAGCAGTACGTCGACACACTGTACAATGTTTCGCCGTCATGCACCTACCAACTGGCACGCGTTGGCTGAGTATACCTCGAGATCGCTCAAATCTACGCTGATTCGAACCAGTGACCTCTGGATGATAAGGCGCGCACGCAACCATTTCGACCAACTACATTGCTTGCATGCTTTTTCAAACATTAAATCATGTAAGCAGCGTTTCAGTTTGTCGATTAACTGCAAAGCGACGTACTGTTTCCGTTGTTTTAATGGACACATGTGGCTTGAAAGTAGTGTGCATTTCTGTCAAAGCCCACTGGGCGGGTGTCAAGAATTCGGAGGTTGAGGTTCGGAGGTAGTTACTGGACGATAACGATGAAAAACCGTAAGTGGGGTAATAAAGAATCGGGAAAGTCTTGGTAGTAGCATCCGTACTCCTATACATCCAGTTCGATGTAGCAGATAAGGTGTCATTGATTATTTTCTGCGACTGCCGGGGCATCAATAATGTGTTTGTAGAAAGATTCATTGTTTTGCGTGCGCAAGCAAGGGTCAGATTGCCCAGGCCTAGACAGGATAACGATTAGGGTGCTCTTTCTTTGGTTTAAAAATCTGACCGCAAGGTAGTGGGATTTTGACAATGTGCTACACAGAGTCCGTTTTATGGAGTAAGGAGCCACCCTCCCTCTAGCCCCTATCCTGGAGGGCTAGGAGACTGAGTTTGTCTAGCCTCTACTAGTTGACCGATTTGGTGTGAGTGGATCTGAAGTTTCAAAAAGCACCATCTATCATAAACCAATGGATCATTTGAGACACCCAAACTATTGCACCATAGTAAGGTCCAGCCTCATCGCGATGGAAGGACCGCAAAACCAGGCGGGCGGTTGGTGAGAAAGGTGGCCGTCTTAAGAGTTTTCATGTGGTCAGCTGGAGGTCAATTTCTGCCCTTCCAGAACCCATCCTGATTACGCATGACCCAGGGTTGGTCATGCCAAGTACTTTCAGGTACTACTCAGCAATGTGCGTATCCTAAGGTACAAGGTGGGTTCACCTGTAGACAAATATCGTCCCGACGTATTTGCTCTCACTGAAACCGGGGTTGTCTCCCGATATCACGGTTGGTGATGCATGTTTACCTGTCTGCGCATTGTTTTGAAGTGGTCGTTCCTTTGGTTGTTAAGGCAGAGACGTTGTATTTTCTGTGTGCTGTAAATTAAATGTGTTGAGGACTTGCACATTTCATTCGTTGGATCAACTTTTGAAGCCCTGTGTGTGCACACTTCCTCAGTCTCGTATGAGTGACTTCGACGGTTCAATGGACACCAATCAGCGCAGGTCAGTGGGTCGTTGACGCATGTAAAATATTACATTACAATAACGTCCAACTTTATTGCGATGGTTTCCTTTTGAGGTGTACACGTACATTCCCGGTTCGTATAGTAACCTTTTTGAGTTTTCTATCAGAGACTATACACCTCTGAAGTGGACTGACTTACTTTGATTGGCTGTTCGTTTATGATGAAAGTCATCGCCATTTCGGTAAAGCCATATCACAGTGTCTTGAATTCTTAAACGACGATGCATATATCAGTGTGTACAGCGCCTTATGAGGCAATCAATATGGTCCTATACTTAGGGTTGTTTGGTCTTATCGTCCGCACATCATGTGTTTGCAAGCTAGTGGGAACAGATGCAGATCTTTCATGATCATTTGATCTCAGAGTTACTGGAGCGGGGATCTATTGAGCAGCTCTGGTGTACCCGACTTGTTTTTGTGAACCCAGAGTATAACTTCCTGTAGATTCCTACTCCGGCCCAGGAGTCACAGTTTATGTGGTTAAATGGACACCCAATAATGGGCGCGAATCTACATTGATTGGGTACAGTACGTGAATGAACATATCGATTTTTACAATGACCGGACAGGTGTTGGAAGCGATCGATTTGTTTAATTATTTGGGTACCTGTGTCATATCTGGCTGGCTAGTATAGGGTAGATGCACAACGCAGTCACTTTGATGGCCATCCCGTTCGACATTCGAGCCACTTCACTGCCTGAGCACTGCCCGCTAGCTTTCTTCCCCTGTTGTGTTAGTAAATGATCAGTTTTATATTTATTAACTTGCCTTATTTGCTGTCTTTGAATGTGCGAGTACCTCATCACTTTCTCCTCCTCTCGGCCATGTATTTTGACAACGTTTGCTTCCTTTTACAGTTCCACACCCAACCGATCACTTCGGTGGAATGGCATCCAACGGATGCCGGTGTGTTTGTCGCCACGTCCGAGGATGACCAAGTCACCATCTGGGACAATACTCTGGAGCAGGCTGACCAAACTGAATCCACTCCAACCGTGGTCGACGACGAGGCATCAAACATTCCCATCCAGTTGCTTTTCATACATTGTGGACAGACCGAGATTAAAGAGGCTCATTGGCACCCACAGATCCCAGGGCTATTGCTGGTCACATCTTTGGATGGATTTAACGTGTTCCGAACGTGCAATGTGTAGCACTTTCGTGATCAACCACTCGGAGTTGTAAATTTGCAGTCAATCGAAAAATATTAAACCGGTCCTTCATTGCTTTCTGTAGAGCTGACGTGTTGTTTTTGTTTACCACAGCTCTTCTCTTTTCTTCATCCGACCTAGTTTCTTCCCTTGCTCATTTCTCCTCTGATATGGAGTGGAAAGAGCACACAGTTTCCTTTTTAGGCGGCCTGTTTAAATTTTAATCGCCATAATCACTTTAGATCACCATTTGACGTGGAATCAAATGTTGGTGTCCTGCCCGATCATTGAGCCTGACAATTTTATTGCTACTGTTCGGTCACCAATCGGAGTGACAACATCAATACATTGTTGTATCGCTGAGCCTCAATGCGTTTGCGTCCGCTAGCCTTGTGCTCGTGATTGGTCATTTGGGTTGTATCGTGTTCGATTTGGCTGACTGGCACCTGACCTTTGAAACTGGTCTCCCATATTTGTACTTGCTGATATCCGCATGTTTGCTTTTGTAGTTGGCTCTGTCACCTGTTCGTGTAGTATCCTGTCCCGTTAGGGGTTAATCGATTGAGTTGGCGATCTTATATTTGTAGTGATGTGTATATTGAATCTAGTTCAACCTGTCAGTCGATTGAATTGACCATAGATACCATGTTTCCAAAAGTTTCTCCGCTTGCTTCAATTTTTATGTTTTCAAAGTCGAAATTGTGGCCCTATTGATTTTTTTGCACGGATGCTAATGCATCTAAAGTGGACCCTTAACTATTGTAGAAGAACTGGTGATGTTCACTTGAGTGGGTTTTGGCATGCGTTCTTTCGAGAATAATTCTCTCAGAGATTTTCGTTGCTACCGACGTACATGCAATAGTGTGATATCTACAGATTCATTTCTTCGGTACACGTTTGATGCTGGCGCTTCGCCAGCAGTCGGTTGTCTTGTTTTGATGTAAGCGCATGGTGTACATTTCAGGAAAAGACAGTGCTTCAGCATGAGCACATTTCTTGAGGACTATAGAAGATAAACCACTTTGCACAAATGTATCCGTATAAATTTCTTGTGAACTCTTACCATATCTATGAGTGGTGAATGTTGTGGAGGAGAGTTGTATCGAAGGAAATGAACAATGATTTATCACGGGATAAAAGCAAGTGCTTGACACGTCCCGTAGGATGGTTGAGGTGAATATGATGCAATTAAAATATGTGTGGGTCATCTATCGAACGTCTGCCGAGATGAATAGTTTGATAAGTAACATCAGTGTAAAATTAAAATAAATTATCGGGCGGAAACATGCAGAAAGACACTGGGGTGCAGTGATCATTGAGGTAAAGAGTGAGAAAAGTAAAATATGGTCGCTCACTTAGATCCGTTTGATACATAAAGCCTGTAGAAATGCATCCTTGGTGTAATCCACAGTAGGGGAATTTAGGTAACAAAATGTTGGGAGCTAAGAGCGACATCTAATCGTTTTTTGAAAACATCCAGGGTAGGAGAGGATACAACTGAGTCAGGAAGTGCGTTCCAAGGTTTGCAAACCCGAAGGGAAAAGTAATTCCGTCGACACTCTAGACGGCTGTATTGTTCCTTCAACTTTAGGCAGTTACCCCTGAGCTGCGTGTTGTGGCTACGTTTCAGCAAATGGCTGCATACGTGATTGGGGTCACTCAATATTTGATAGGCTAATATGAGATCACCGCGCAGTCTTCGATAGCGCCCGCTGAAAATTCCCAACAACTTCAGCCTTCGGTGATAAGAGTGGTAGCGCAGACCCTGCACATTCTTTGTTGCTCTCCGTTGCGGTGCCTCTATCGCTTCTAGGTCACGCTTCAACCAAGCTTGCCAAGCTTGGATAGCGTATTCAACATGCGGGCGCACGTAGGAATTGTGCATCATTGGGAAGATTGATGGGTTAAATCTCCCGAATGCTCTTCGCAGCATGCCGACATGCTGGTTGCCTCTTTTCGCAGCTACCTCAGCCTGTTTTGAACAGTTGAGGTCGCTCTGTACGATCACACCCAGGTCACGTTCCTGGGAGCTATTCTGCAATTCGTTTGTCCCAAGTGAATAGGTGTAGTTATGACAATGGCGTAATTGTACGACGCGACATTTGTCTACATTGAACGGTAGGGCGTTTTGAAGTGACCAGTTCGACACTGTGTTAAGATCGCACTGGAGCCGTTCATTGTCTTCCGGCCCTCTGATCCTTCGCCATATCTTGATATCGTCAGCGAAAAATAGGAAATCGGAAGTAATTGATCTCGCCAAATCGTTAATGAACACCAAGAATAGACGAGGTCCAAGAACCGAGCCTTGTGGTACTCCGCACGCCACATCGATTGCATGAGGAAATGATTCTCGGACTCTCACCACTAGCCGTCGTTCTTGTAGAAAATTGTCAATCCAACTCAGGATTGGGTCGCCAATGCCGTAATTACGAAGCTTGTAAAGGAGAATGCGATGGTTTAAGCGATCAAATGCTTTTGAAAAGTCCAAGTAGATGACATCGACCCCTACTCCATCATCAACAGCTTCAGTCCAGCTATTACGTGCAATTAATAGGTTAGTATTACACGAATGCTTTTGACGGAAGCCATGTTGCTCTGGGGCTATTAAATTGTGGCTTTCCATGTATTCCATCAGCGCGTCTGCGATGATTGATTCCATCACTTTGGATAGTACTGGAAGTAGTGTTATTGGGCGGTAGTTGGCAGGATCAGTGCGGCTACCTCCTTTATGAATAGGAGTGATGACCCCTTCCTTCCATACTGGTGGAATACGGTTCTTCTCTAGACATCGCTGATAGAAAATAGCCAGTGGTGCTGCTAGATCACTAGCTACTGCCTGTAGAGCCTTTGGTCGGATATTGTCAGCTCCGGGAGAACTGTGGATACGCAAGGATAACAACTTCTTCAACACCGCTTCCGCAGTGAAGGTGATGTTTTCTAAACCAGATGAAGGAGTAGTAGGAATGAGGAGAATGTTCGTGCTCGTTACCTCCTGGAAAGTTTTGGAATAGTGAAGCCGTAGGAGATCAGCTGCTTCCATTGCTGATCGCGTGCACCCATCAGCCGTGACTAGTGCTGGAATCCCCCGCTTTACCTTTCGAAGGCCGTTAACGTGCCTGTACAGGAGTTTGCGGTTCGTACAGAAGCGCTTCATTAACTTCTGCTGATGAGTGACCTTGTCTTCGCGGATCAGTTTCACACAGAAGTTACGATGGGTCACGTATGCAGTCCACGTTTCGGCATTCGGGCAGTCCTGGTGATCTCGCCATGCCAAATCCCTCCGGGACATATATTTACGTGTCCTGCTCCTCAGAAATGAATTACGCTTGTTTTTAGGTTGGAAGGACTTCTCCTCTGATGCGTGCGCTGCCAGTGTACTAAACGTCCTTGTAAATGTTTCCCAGGCAACATCTGGGGGGCATTCGGTTAAGAAAGTCCAGGATGTATCCTTAACAAGCTTAGACAACACATTGTAGTGTGTGACAGTATGCACTTTATCCTCCTCCTTTTCAGGGTACTCCGCATAGCAAATATAGTCAAAGAGTAGAGTAACATGATCACTACGACCCAGTGGTGTACTTGTAACTATCCCGTCAACCATGAGTTCTTCGTTAGTGAGCACAAGATCCAGTATCGACGGCTTGTTAGCAGTTCGAAATCTAGTGGGAGAGGTTACGTGGTTGTAAAGAGGGTGGCTAGCAATAAGCTCTTGCAAGCGGGCTTTAAACTGCATACCATCGGTTGCCGGCTGTAAGGCTGGATCATTTTTCTGACTGCACAATTAGCAATTTTTTCCTTTCACGTAGAGAGCGGTGTGTGTGCGTGTGAATTTGTGGACGGCTCAGCTGAAGGTTTTCATCCTTTTCCACATTTATCGGTAATTATTTTTTCCAAGTGTAGTTTGGACACACACATGGTTACGGCGGCATATTTCATTTTTTATACCAGTTGACCACGACTTTAATAAATCGGAGTATCTGCGCTTGAAAGCTTTTCTTCTAGACTGCAATATCTTTTAGAGCACGAGAGGAGTTGTTTGATCTGATGAAAATGTTTTCCAAAGGATAACCGGTATGAAACCATAAGTTCCAATACAATAAATGCTCCGAATTTGACCACCGTCATATCTTAACCACATCTCTAAGTTGGTCGTTTTTGATTCGCTGCTTTGACTACGTTTGTCCAGTGCCCTGATTGTTCAACTTAATGTGGTTTTGTGTAGGTACTTAACTGATCATAGTACATCGATATGTCCGTTGCAAAATAGATTGAAATCTGAGAGAGTTGTCCTGTTCTCCGAGCTGGGCATTTCTGTTGCATACGTTTCGTTGCCAAACTAGGCAACATCCTCATTGCGTCTTTTAAGTCCTGATTCGCACTACGTTGCCTATTTTGATAACGAAACGTCTACAACAGAAATGCCCAGCTCCGAAAAAAGTATAACCACACCCCAAGCTACAGGTATTCTTAGTAATCTCCAGATTGAAACCTTTGGAGTAGATAGTTTCGCGCAGAAACTTGACATTATGCGTTTGCTTGTGATCCTTACGGCAAATGATTTGTTTTGCCATAGCTAGGGGGAGACGACTTTATGGTGTTATGGTCTGAGCTTCCAAGCGGTGCCTTGTTGCTTACAGAAAACGTTTTCAGTGTGTTGACAAGCACCAGGTCTAAGTTTGCCTGTAACCTAGTGGGAGATTACACATTTTTCTTTCTTCAATCCGACATTCGTGACTAAAATACTGTTTGTATCGATTGAAATCTCCGGCAAACACGCATAAAGAAAACTTCAGATTTCCGATGATGGTAGTTGTGAAATCGTCCTAAAACTTTTCACCATTAACTATTATAGGGCTGATAGGGGAAATTTAAATATTAGTCAGTAGAATCGAACGATATCGGCTCAAGTATCGTGGCTTGTATTTCACAATTCAATAGCTAATGTGCTGCGCTTACTGAGGAAAAATAATTTTTGTCGTTGAGCACCACATGAAGAATTTATG